TGAGGTCACCGTCGGGGGCCTGGAGCCGGGGCGCAAGTACAAGATGCACCTGTACGGCCTGCACAGGGGACAGCGCGTGGGCCCCGTGTCCACCGTGGGCGTGACCGGTGAGTGGGGGCGGGAGCCTTCAGGGCTGGATTGGGTAAGGTCTCAATGTTGGAGCCTTCAGGGTGTCCTCCACTGGAGAGCAAGGATCCTAAAGCCTCACCTAATCCACTCTTCATCCAGTAACATGTCTGGCCGGGTGTGAGGTGGGGTCAGGAAGCCTGAGTGCCAGGCCTGTGCCAGAGAGGCCCTCCGTTGGAAGGCTCTGAGGCAGTGATACACTGACCCGTTTGTGGCTTTCCACTTTTCCGGGAAACCTGGAAAGATCTTGTTTTTGTGTTTGGGGCAAATGCCATGAACTATTCAATCATTCAACAATAATTTATTATATAAGAGCCAACCTTACACATGAAAAGAAAAAATAGCATCATGAACTCCCATATGTCCATTGCCCTGCTGCAGCCTAATATTCACTGCTGGCCAGTCTGGCTGGCCCACACCCCGCTCGCTCCCTGCCCTCCTCACACTGGGATGTGCGCTTAGCTCAGCTTATTGAGATGTAATTTACATACCATAAAATTCACCTGCTTTAAGTTTGCAACTTAATGATTTTTAGTCAGAGTTGTGCATCCATCAGCACTATCTAATTTTAGAATTTTCTCTGTAGAACTCTAACACAATCTCATTTTAGAACTCTACCTCTGTAGATTTGCCTTTTCTGGACATATGTCTAGAAAAGGTATGGTATATCATATCATATAGATATGTCTAGATGGTATGGTATCATACAATAACATGTTCTTCTGTTTCTTTCATCAAGCTCCTTTTCGGGGTTCATCCATGTTGTAACATGTAGCAGAACTCATCCCTTTATAGCCAAATAATATTCTGTTGTATGGATATACTGTTGCAGTGTTGGTAAACTCATCCCAGATGCTCTAGACTTCATCCCATACTTCATGGCTTCATATTTAAACATATTACTCTTTTTAAAAAGACTATTTAAGGGGTGCCTGGGTGGCTTAGTCGGTTAAGCTTCTGACCCTGGATTTCGGCTCAGGTCATGATCTCAGGGTCATGAGATCGAGCCCCGCACCGGGCTCTGCGCTAGGTGTGAAGCCTGCCTAAGATATCCTCTCTGCCCCTCCCCAACTCATGAACGCACTCTCTCTCTCCCTAAAAAAAAAAAAAGTATTTAAAAATAGCCACAACACCATTATTGTACCTTTAAAAATGAACAGTCATTCATTAATATCATTAAGTATGTAGGGAATGTTAGTTTCCTGGTTGTCTCATAAATGTTGTTCTCTAATTTGTTGCTGATCCCAGCAACAACAAAAAAAGGAGAAAACATTGCAATTGGGAGAATTGGAATTTTAGATAGGGTGGTCATGATTGGCCCTGAAAAGGTGACATTTGAACAAAGACTTAAAGGAAGTATAGACATGAGCCATACAGACATCCAGGGTCAGAACATTCACACAAAGGGAATAGTCAATGCAAAGGCCCTGAGGTAGGAGGCTGCCTGGTAAGTTTGACAGACCATGAAGAGACCACAAAAAGACTCTGATGTTAAGCAGAAATGGATCTTAAGTTAGGCCTACACAGCTGGCCCACCTTCTGGTCTGAATCCAGTAGAGCCAGGGCCTCAACTACTTCTTCCAGCAATAGGAAAGGTTCTGTTTGCATCTATTCCCAGACCCCGAAGGGGAGCCCCCTACCAACACCCTTCTGAAGCCACACTTGGGAGAGCTGACCGTGATGGACGCCACCCCTGACTCCCTGCACCTCTCCTGGACTGTCCCCGAGGGCCAGTTTGACCACTTCCTGGTCCAGTACAAGAACAGGAATGGGCAGCCCAAGGCTGTGAGAGTGCCAGGGAGTGAGGACCAGGTCACCATCTCAGGCCTGGAGCCCAGCCACAAGTACAAGATGAACCTGTATGGCTTCCACAGTGGCCAGCGCGTGGGCCCGGTCTCTGCTGTCGGTTTAACTGGTGAGTATACAGTAGGACACTGGGCCCTGCCCTAGCTGGACTCAGTTTCTCTTTCATGTCGGTATTCAGGTGTTTTTTTTCCCACTGTCCCTGAGACTAGAGCCTCCCAAGCTCCTGAGAATGGTTCTGTTTGTGTCTTTACTCCAAGCCTTTGGTGTTGCCCCAGCCATCTTTCCTTTTATACACGGGCTTTTTTTTTTTTTTTTTTTTTAATTAATCTCTACGCCCAACATGGGGCTTGAACTCACAACCCCGAGATTAAGAGCCACGTGTTCTACTGACTGAGTCAGTCAGGCTGCCCCACACACAGACTTTTTGGTCCTTGAAGAGGCAGGCTACCAGGGAAATAACAGACTCAAACAGACCTAGGGTTGACCCTAGCCTCAGCCCATTCGAGCTGTGTGACCCCAAGACAGTCACTCAACCTCTCTGTGCCTCCCTTTCTTCATCTGTAAAGAAGGAAGAGGAAGAAAATTAGTTTCTGAAAACTCTTAGGATGAATTCTCATAATTATCATTGATTTCAATGGGTAAAATGGTATGTTTTCCAACCCAGACTGATTCCCCCTTTATGCTAAATGAACCCTGGAATCCTGCTACCATGGTTGCTTTTACTTTGATGGTTAGTATTAGTCTATGTGCAACTTCACAAGGCATCTTCCCTTCATTCATTATTTGCTAACAGGGACAATCGTTGCTTTTGTTAAGTTCTTTTGGAGCTATTACCCTTTGATGCTTAAGACCTGGTTCCCAAACAACAGATAGGAAACAAGATGATTTTGTAATTCAGAGATTAAGGAAGAATGAAACCCTATGCAGAACAGAAAAGCCAAAAGAAACCTGGGGGTGTGATGAGTCATCTGTGCCATAAATTATGGAGAGAGCAAACGCGAGGTCCAAAACCACCCAGGTACAAAGACGACCTCGCGTCTCGTCTCTTTGTCCTCCACTGTGAAATCTAAATTTGTCTCTAAAAATGCTCAGAAGACTTCTCAACCAGAGGAGGTATTAAAGGAAAATACTCACGAAGTAGAATTTCCAAACCTGAGTAGATGTACCTCCTGATGTGACCTGTCTGGTATGCTTGGCGGTGTTAGGAAGCCTTAGTTCTGTCCCTCTGTGCAGATTTGCTCTGCGGCTCCCAAGGGCTCAGCACCCGCACACACAGAACACCAGGCAGTCCCGACCTCCCGTCATGATGTTACCACGAGAGTGTGCTCTGTCCCTTGGTCACTAACATTCAAACCAGGGAGATGATGTCTTAACCCTGGGGGGCTGGCATCCAAGCTGCAGGGACTTGGTGTGTCTGGGAGAAATCTAAGTATCCTTTACTGGAAGGGGGCCCACGAGGCACGTCCACACATTCTCTTTGTCTCCTAATCCAGCCCCAGGAAAGGACCACGAAATGCCAGCTCCCACAGACCCACCCACCACAACTCCCCAGCCTCCCAAGCCCCGCCTGGGGGAGCTGACCGTGACCGATGCCACTCCTGACTCCCTGCACCTCTCCTGGACTGTCCCCGAGGGCCAGTTTGACCACTTCCTGGTCCAGTACAAGAACGGGGACGGGCAGCCCAAGGCGGTGCGTGTACCGGGCTATGAGGATGGGGTCACCGTCTCAGGCCTGCAGCCAGACCACAAGTACAAGATGAACCTGTACGGCTTCCACGGTGGCCAGCGCGTGGGCCCGGTGTCTGCCATTGGGGTGACAGGTGAGTGGATGCTGGAAGCCCCAGGGTGAGGCCAGTGGGAGGGTCTCCCTCTCCCAGGTGATGGGTGAGTGGGGTGCAGGAGGCCCCTCTGCTCGAGGCTGAGCCGTGGTGCCCTTTGTGCCTCCCCACCCCCCTCCCGGGGCTCCCTGAGGCCTGAGGGGTCCTTCCCTGCAGAGAACGGCCTCCATGAGTTGTGCTGGGGACTGTCCAGGATTCCCCACAGCTGACCCTCAAAGCTCCCAGGCATGTTTGTGAGATGCAGCTGAGCAAGCCCACCCAGCCCCAAGGATGTGCTTCTCTGAGCTGAATTTGGGGGCCCCCAAACATGATTACAGCTTCTCCATCCTTCTCCCAAGACCTGAGGACATCTGCTGGGGATCCTGCCTCACCTTCTCTGTGTCTGTCCTTCTCAGCTGCAGAGGAAGAGACCCCAACCCCCACTGAGGTGGAGGAGACCCCCAGCCCCACAGAACCCAGCACGGAGGCCCCAGAGCCCCCCGAGGAGCCCCTCCTGGGAGAGCTGACGGTCACAGGATCCTCCCCAGACTCGCTGAGCCTCTCCTGGACCGTCCCCCAGGGCCACTTCGACTCCTTCACTGTCCAGTACAAGGACAGGGACGGGCGGCCCCAGGTGGTGCGTGTCGGGGGTGACGAGAATGAGGTCACCGTCGGGGGCCTGGAGCCGGAGCACAAGTACAAGATGCACCTGTACGGCCTGCACAGGGGACAGCGCGTGGGCCCCGTGTCCACCGTGGGCGTGACCGGTGAGTGAAGGGGCAGGAATCAGGGGTCTTCAGGGAGAACTGCCTTTTCTCATGGGTAGGATGACTGTTCTGTTCTTTGGCTCGTCCTAAGGATCCAGGCCTTGGCTCCCCATTTCATGCTTTTCCTCCAGGGCCCTGGGGTGTGGCCTGTGCCTAGGAGTTTAGCATTTGCTAGCCTGGAGCCTCATCATACACACTAGCATGACCTCCTTCTGATGATCAGCCACTGGGCCCCTCTAAGAGTAAAGTGTGTCAGGCACAGGCCAAGCATGCACACGCGCACAAGGAGGAAAGAAACAGGACAACATCCAACCACATTGAGATGATTCAATAATTAGGCAACATCTATAAGATGAGCTATTATGTCATCACCAAAATGTTTTAACATAAGACGATTATTTGATAATATTACATTGAAAAAGGAGCCCCCAAATTTTGTAAGGATGCTAATAACAACCACTGGAAAATAACATGCATGGCAAGAAAACTGGAAAGAAACACATCTCACAGATGTGCACGGTTTGTAGGACAGGATAGAATGTTCCAGCCCTTTTTTTGTTTTATTCTAGTCTGTTCTAAATTTTCTTTTATAATCAGGAAATATTTATTTTAAATATAATATCTCCTCCTCTCTTGTACTCCTTCCATCTTTTCCCCCATCACTCTTACAACTTATTTTATTTCTAATTCTGAAAAAGTTTCAATTTCTAGTCCCTAAGAAATTAGGGGGGCAAAAGCACAAGGTGAATTAAATTCTAAAAGGGCAGTCAGGATGGCTTTTCTAAGTCAGTGTCAGCCCAATTCTTTTTTTTTTTTTTAATTAATTTCAGGGGTAGAATGTAGTGATTTCATTAGTTGTGTATAACACCCAGTGCTCATTACATCCTGTGCCCTCCTTAATACCCATCACCCGGTTACCCCATCCCCCCACCTCCCTCCCCTCCAGCAACCCTCAGTTTGTTTCCTAGAGTTCAGCATCTCTTATGGTTTGTCTCCCTCTCTGTTTTTATCTTATTTTATTTTTCCTTCGCTTCCCCTATGTTCATCTGTTTTGTTTCTTTTATTTCACATATCAGTGAGATCATATGATAGTTGTCTTTCTCTGACTGACTCATTTCACTCAGCATAACACCCTCCAGTTCCATCCGTGTTGATGCAAATGGCAAGATCTCATTCTTTTTGATGGTTGAGTAGTATTCCATTGTATATATATCCCATTCTTCTTTATCCATTCATCTGTCGATGGACATCTGGGTTTTTTTCCCATAGTTGGGTATTGTGGACATTGGTGCTATAAACATTGGGGTGCTATAAACAGGTGCCCCTTCAAATCACTATGTTTGTATCCTTTGGAAAAATGCGTAGTAGTTCAATTGCTGGGTCATAGGGTAGATCTATTTCTACCTTTTTGAGCAACCTCTGTACCGTTTTCCAGAGTGGTTGCACCAGCTTGCATTCCCACCAACAGTGTAGGAGGGTTCCCCCTTCTCTGCATCCTTAACAACATCTGTCGTTTCCTAACTTATTAATTTTAGCCATTCTGACTGGTGTGAGGTGGTATCTCATTGTGGTTTTGATTTGTATTTCCCTGATGTCGAGCGATGTTGAGCACTTTTTCATGTGTCTGTTGGCCATTTAGATGTCTTCTTTGGAGAAATATCTGTTCATGTCTTCTGCCCATTTTTTGATTGCATTATTTGTTCTTTGGGTTTTGAATTTGATAAGGTCTTTATAGATTTTGGGTACTAGCCCTTTATCTGATATGACATCTGTAAATATCTTCTCCCATTCTGTTGGTTGTCTTTTGGTTTTGTCGACTGTTTCCTTTGCTGTGCAGAAGGTTTTTTCTGGATGAAATCCCAATAGTTCATTTTTGCCCTTGTTTCCCTTGCCTTTGGAGAGATGTCTGGCAAGAAGTTGCTGCGGCTGAGGTCAAAGAGGTTGCTGCCTGTGTTCTCCTCTAGGATTTTGATGCACTCCTGTCTCACATTTATGTCTTTCATCCATTTTGAGTCTATTTTTGTGTGTGGTGTAAGAGAATGGTCTAGTTTCATTCTTCTGCATGTGGCTGTCCAGTTTTCCCAGCACCATTTATTGAAGAGACTGTCTTTTTTTCCATTGGATATTCTTTCCTGCTTTGTCGAACATTAGTTGACCATAGAGTTGAGGGTCCATTTCTGGGTTCTCTAATCAGTGTCAGCCCGATTCTGATGTCCCGTGAGAACAGATTTACTCTGTGTGCCGTGCGGGAGAGCCCAGCACCCCGAAGAGAGCCTCTCTGTAGGCCTGGGGCTCGCAACCTCTACAACACCAAGTAAGAGGCTCTGTGAGGGTCCGTCTCCTCTCTTGAAAATTCTCCAGACAGAGGAACGATTTCACACAGCCCCCCTGACTTCTGGGGGATGGGCCTCTTTTCTCTATATACATTCACAGGAGTGTGGCAGGAGGGGGAGGACGGGAGAATGATCAGAAAATAGACATTAGAGGGGCGCCTGGGTGGCTCAGTCAGTTAAACGTCTGCCTTCAGCTCAGGTCATGGTCCCAGGGTCCTGGGATCGAGCCCCACGTCTGGCTCCTGGTTCGGATGGGAGCCTGCTTCTCCCTCTCCCTCTGCCTCTCCCCCTGCTCATGCTCTCTCTCTCTCTCTCTCTCTCTATCTCTCTGTCTCAAATGAATAAATAAAAATAAATAAATAAATAATCTTTAAAAAAAGAAAATACACATTAGAACAGCTCCCACCCTGAGGGAAAGCCATTAATGCTCATCCACTGTTCAGTGTGGTTACTGTCTGTCACAGCTGATCTCAAGCACACATGAAGTAAGGAGGGCAGCTGCAGGAACCCCCGGCCCTTCTCCACAACCCCCACCAGATTATTAAGTTTTAGAGTCCAGGGTTTCTTTCTCATTCCACGTTATTCTGGGGAAACGAATATCAACATTGTAGAATATTTGAAAAATAGGGGAAAAAACCGATCAGAACACCTTTGGACACAGTAACTGCCATTAATAATAATACCCATAGCACGGGCTCTCCCTAGCTTTCCATCCAGTGCATCTTCTCAAGCTGCAGAGTGTTCAGACAATTCTTTGCTCTTCCTTTGTTTTTGTACGTAAGTTACATTGTGAGCATTTATTTTGAAGCCACACACCCGGCATTAATCATCATTTAATGATGATCTGACGTTGCATGGTGAAAGTACCATCGCAAAGTGAATCATCTTCTTGGGGCCATTTGGGTCCCTGACACATTTTGCTGTCACGAATAATTCTACAACGGACTCCCATGGCACAACTTTTTCATAATTTTCTTAGGACAGCTGCCCAATGGGATTATTGGGTCAAAAGAAATGAGTAGTATTGTGGCTCCTATACACACGTCCAAATTACCTTCTGTGCCGGCTAATCAGTGTGTGAAGGGGATTGGGGCCTGTCTCAGTGCCAGCTCGGTAGTTCCCAGCCGGCTAAACCCCAGGTGCTCAAACTCGGCTCCACAGCTGGAGGAATGGGACTGCTGCACCTTGTGGTCCTACTGACATGAGCAGCAGAGTTGACTACTAAGCCTCCATCCCCATGTCTTCTCTCAGCCCCCCAGGACCTTGTGGAGGAGACGCCCAGCCCCACAGAACCCAGCACGGAGGCCCTTGAGCCCCCCGAGGAGCCCCTCCTGGGGGAGCTGACGGTCACAGGATCCTCCCCAGACTCGCTGAGCCTCTCCTGGACCGTCCCCCAGGGCCACTTCGACTCCTTCACTGTCCAGTACAAGGA